AAACATGTATGACACAAGTCAGCTAGAATACAACCCAAAGATTTGCTATCAAGGTCATTATATCAACCATAGTATTTACAGAATGATGAAGTAAAGTGGGGGTGTTGAAATCCATGTAACATCGATTTATTTGTCAGTAGCTGGTATCTGTTTCAAAATACCTGGTAACAATAAACAAACCTTCCATAGATGTAATGTATTAGCACAAAAATGTGATAGAATTGGTCAAGACTCTTAGGATACTGGCTGCATATGATTCTTAATTACTTTCTGGAAAATAAACTAGCTTAAAATTTCTAAATTTTAATCACTTCTTTGAAATCTTCTTACTTTCCAAGTAACAGTAAGTTTTGAGATTGACATTTTTTCTTATAATCCTACAGTTAATTAAGCCAAATTACGGAGTACTATATGACTATTTTTCTTAATAGTAGCACCTTGTTTTATAATCAATTGTACAAAACAAAGGTATGATATGATAAGAAATATTTTTTTAATAATATTCATATACCCTGTGCTAGTAAGAAAATTCAGTCTTGCACTTTCCCTAATAATTGCAACAAAAAACATCTTTAAATTTAAATCACACTTAAATTTTTTGTCTTAGGAACAGGAAAAAAACCTTTTCATCCTTTTTATTGGAAGCATATGATGATCACTGCCAGATGTCACGAAATGATTTGCTCTTTGGCCACAGTTCTTCTAATGCTATAAATATCAGTACATGTAACTTGTATATCCAACATTCCACACGGTACTGTACAAACCCAACTCTGTAGGTCAGTTACTAAAACAACAACCACTAACAACAACCACTTCATCACCTATAGTGGCTATTTATCTCTAGGATTTAATTCTTACTTTTTGTGCTGATTAAGTTACCTTTTGCCTTTATGAATCTGTTTCTCTTTAGAGAGTATTAGCTCAAGAAAAATTTTAGCAAATGTTAAAGAGTTAATTAAAGTTAAATAAATTTAAACATCTAGCTGATATTTTAAGAAATGAGTATCCAGTCTCAAAGAGGTAATTACTTTTTCTTGGAAAATTTTGCTAAAAAATTATTTTACAACAGAGTGAAGATCCCTCAGGCCTTGATTAGTTACTTGTCAGTGAATATCAAGAGTTTCTCATGTGATGACCAACTTAATCCTTGCCTGAGACTGAAATTCGAAAAATGTGACAAAATTACACGGTTCTCTTCATTATCACACAGCATCATGTTTGCCTCTGTAATGCTCAGGATTGAAATCTTTTTTTTTAAATTTTGAGCATTTTTAATATTAATGGCAGATCTTACACTCATTAATTTTAAACAATTGAGAAGGACTTCAGGGTTTTATAGCCCACAGAGCTACATATCTCCAGCTGCATAAAATACATGTATATAAATTACCCTGATGCTGAAGGAAGTCGTGCTTTAAAGGTAACCAAATTTGACACTACATGATTAAGTTTGATAAAATTTATACTTTTATTGAGTTTACATGATAATTAAATGTCTGTAAATAAGGCAGATGTTCAAAAGTATAAAGAATTTTCAATATATCTGAGAACTTAGTCTTATCCAAGGGCCTGTAAAAAAGAAACCAAATACTTGAGATAATGTGAGCTGTGACATCTCCCTTAATTGCTCCCATATAAGTATAATTGTATAAAGTCCATTTCATATTAATGCCATGGGAAAGCCCACATAATATGTATGGATAAAACTGGATGGATACCCCTGTCACTTTATGAATTGATGAGCAAAGAATTGTCAGTTGAGTGATTTTTAAAGCTGATCTGACTGTACATAAGATGAATGATAAAAAGCCTCACCCCTCATAAGTTGCAGTCAGATGGAACATGGAGCCTTTGGTGTTGCTATGGTGATGGACATGGATGATGAGGTGGGGGGACCTGGCTCTGAGTCGGTCCAGGAGCCACACGAGGGTGGTGGTGTCAGTGTCGGCTGGGAAGGTGACAAGTACATCACAGTCCTGGGTGGGGACGGTGTTACGGAGAATGTGACTGGACGCCACCAGACGACTGGTCGGAACATGTATCAGCTTCTTAGCTAATATCCGTGAACCTAAAGGTATAACAAACTAAATGAGAATTTTAACTTAATTTGCTATACATTTAATGATAGATGTTCTGGCATAAACACTGTTTCTTGACATTTCATGCAATATATGTTTTCAAATCAATGAATATAAAAGATTCTTTACCAAAAGTAATTTTAAATTGTTAATCATCTGAAATAATTATTTCTTTGGAACAGTTATATACTACAGAGTTATTTGAAATGTTATAAGTGCACTATAAATATTATCAGACGAGGATCCAGAAATTTTTTTCGACGGGGGGTCCAACCCAGTCAAAAAAAAATCCTACCTCAGAAATGTGTTGACAAGTCAAAAAAAAAAAAGAAAAAAAAGTGACAATCCTATTTCGGGGTGGGGGGGGGGGGGGGGGGGGGGGGGGGGGGGGGTTATGGTTTATGAGCTTTTATGATAGATTATCCAAAATAGTCACTTCTGATGTATTTTTATATATATGCTTTCTCCAGTTCTCTGAAATTGTGCATGATATTTATGTTTTTTTGCATCTGTCATTTGTTGAATGGTGTTAAACAAAACATGATATTTTATAAAGTTCTCCCCCTTTTTATGAGTTTTTTTTTGTGCAGATCAATATCTGTCCCCGTTTCATGATAAATAAGCTGACTGCTGGTTAGTGAAGGATATACATATTGATTTAGAGTGTTAGCGTCTGTAACAGAAGCTTTAAAAACTCATATATTACAGGGGCTAAGTAATGCGACTTATGTGTATATACTCATCATAGCCACTGGTAGACATACACAAACATCTCTTCACAGGGAAAGCTCAATATGATGAATATAGAAGTTGATCATGAATAGTGTATTTTACAATTTATCATTTAAAATGATATGAAATATTTATGTCAGGGAACGAGGGTTGAAAGTGACATGTTGACATGTATACCCATCAAAGAGCAATTACATTAAAAGGGTCTTAACTGTGTAAGTAAAAGAAATGAAAAAACATACATTGATATATACATTTTTAAAAAACTGCATGCTTTGCTATTTTTTGTTCTTGTTTTCTTTTTAAATTCATTTATTCATATCTTTTCAAATTTAATTCATTGACTATTTTATATCTAATTAAAACTATAACAATGATTTTAGCTACCCTATTTCATTATCTTTATTTCACCTGATCCTAACTTAATTAAACAATAAAGATATTCCTCATCGGTATCTTTAAGCTACATTTACATGTACTTACTGGATTCACTATTAGTTCCCATATCCACAGATTAAAAGAACTTTACTCCAGTTTACAAGCACCCTTGTTAATTATAGTCCACATCTATACCCATACACTCCATACTAGTACATACATCTGTTTAACATACCTCCAATGTAATTACACAAAACTACAGTAAAATCCATAACCAAGATGGAATATAAAACATCAATTACTCTTCACATTTGGTGATATAATATAAAACACATTCAGAGGTCATCTTATACACAGGAACATAAGCCTCATTCGTTCAATGTAGAATTGACATATGATTCTTTTGGCCTATCATCAGATAAACTCAATAGCTACAATATGTCAAAGGGTTGCTATCACCTAATTAACTCAACAGCCACAATGTGTCATATACTATAGCATTGTAAATGCTACAGCAGATACGATAACCATAGTCACAGTGCATGCATGTATTCTTTATTAGCAATAATTATAAGCTTCAGGCAAGTATTACCCATATTCCTAAAAATGAAGTTAATGTTTATGCAATTTTGGAGTTTCAGATTAATGTCACTAATGTAGCTGGCTGCTTGTAGCCTGAAATGGATCAATTAATAGGCACCATAACCACTACCATTCAATATTCTGCATAAATGCTTCATTTGGGCATGTATTACACTCAGTCACTGCACTGTTTTCAAATGAGATTTCACAAATCAATTAAGATGCTATATTTACATCCACTGAATATTTTCTCCTTTATTTCTTAAGAAAACCCATTGCGTTAATCACTGCATGAACTACATAAGGCATGTCGCCTGTACAGATTTCTTGATCAGTGCATGGCTGCTCCATCAATGAAACATACAAAGACATTTGCATCATTAATACAATAATTAAACTTTTTAATCCTTCTTTAAATGATTATTTAAACAGATACAAATATAAACAATAAAATGTCTTTCTTTGTTTGTTATTACTGGAATTAACGGTCGCAGCTATTGCAGAAAAAATTTACATAGCGGGTTATTTATTTTTTCTGCAACAGCTGCTTCCGTTAATTCCAGTAATAACAAATAAAGAAAGCATTTTATTGTTTAAATTAAGGCAAATGTATCAAATATGGAGATAATGAACAGTTACATCATGCTCAAATGTCTGTTGAAACAATATAAATAAGACTAATGGGGGGGGGGGGGGCAAGGGGGGGGGGTGATATTCATATCATGAGTGAAGTGCCACATTCCCTACATTCATAATTGAAGGCAGAATATTGTTATGAATGTTAAAAGTTTTTTTTTATCTGCCAAACAAATACTAAAACCTTTCACCTAATAATTTGTAAATATAGGCAGCTTTTCTAGGCTTTGGGGTTGTATTTTCTTAAACCTTTATGCTTCATAAAAGGATTAGGAAACAAACAAAACAAAGTAGAATCACTTACCGGTATATTCATTGACAACAGTTTTTATCAAAAGAGTGGTATGTAAAGACCATCATTTCATTATTAAGAAGATAAACTGTATAAAGAACTCACTATATGCCCATTGAACAATTCATCTTCTAAACTTTTTAACGAATGAACAAATCTAGTGACACAGATTTTGCAAATATGTGTCACTATAGATCATTAAAAGTGTTATTGAGAAAATATAATGATCAGTATATTAAAATACTTGTTAACCTACATGTTAACCACTGTGATGAAAAAGGGGGAGATCGATTCAGCCCTCAGAAAAGGTAGCATTGCGCGCATTGTTTAACTCATGGATTTAGGAAGATATATATATATTGCCTTAATATGACCACTACAAAATGTAACATTTGCTCACATGTCACTCACATGATATCTATAAGGGGATTTTACGAGAGTTAAAGAAAAACAGTAGATTTAGGAATAATGGAAAAAGCGATAGGCAGGAGATGGGATATAAAAACGGTTACTGTAAACCAACTTTTATTCGCGACAACTTTTATTTCGTGATTTACCGGGATTAAACTAGTTTGTGATGATTAATTTTTGCGATCAAGCCTTTTTTGATCTGTTATTTATAGACACAAAGACTTAATGGACTGCTTCATGGCAAGAAATATTTGTGATATTGAGGCCCTCACAAACTTCGCGAAAATTTCTTGCACGCGAATAAAAGTTGGTTTACAGTAACTTCCGCCTAAAGCTGTAGAGTTAACATGTATGATATTAATCACCTTTCATTGGCAAAATGACATATACATGTGAATCCAAACTATGTCTATGATATCACATCAAACTAAGCAGTACTGTAGCTTTCAAAAAAAAAATATATATATTGACAGACCAGTCTGTCAATAAATTTTTTTGGAGAGCTACAGTTCTGCAGCTACATCAGACCTAAAACACTGATCGAAGTGAGGTCTGGTTTGGTTTTTCATTAAGTTGATTTCTGAACTGAAAGTTGAGGATGAGTATGAAAACGAGCCATCAACTTCTACAAGGCTAACCCACTAGCTAGTGCTAGTAGGAGCGTGGCCTTACTAATATTTACAAAAACTTTTAACCTTTTTATCTAGTAACAAACGTCCATTTACTTAAATTTACTCAATTATATTTTTATCAAATTACAATATTTTAAGTAAACTAAAAACCTCATGCAAATCTGAATCAGGATTCCAACCCTTAAAACATTTATCAGTATCTTGAAAACTATAAATATTTGTACACATTGTGACATGTTGAGATCGACCACATGAAACAGTTTCAATAGTTTAATGAGTTATAAAGACTATCAAATGTTACAATGAATATATAACGGGTTGTTCAACTCACGAAATTTATTTTTTGTTTTTAAAAATCCTTTCCCAGGCTCTGGAGAGTGAGGCTCCTTCATTTTCATGTGTTGCAGCGTCCGAGGTATAATATGAATACTTTTTTGGATCTCGTAACCAGCCTCTATAACCAGGCAGAGCGCATGCGCGCAACAAATTTACATCGAGTTCGGAAAACAGCAGAGAGGAAATTCGAAATAGATAACGAAAACTTAGTAGTGCTATTCTCAGATGCAGAAATTTACGCATAATTCAATAAATTTTTATTTAAAAAGCCAAAGAATTAATATGTCAACTTTGCAATTAGTATCTATTTATTTATTTAATCTTTTATTCATTCATTTATTTATTTTATTTGTTTAATTAATTCATTTAATTCTAATAATCAATGAACTAGGTAACTTAATTATTTATTCATCAGGAAATTTATTTGTCTGTTTATTCATTTATACATTCTTTTCTTCATTAATTAATTATTCTAATGAGTAATTAATTCCTCTATTATTTATTAATTATTCTATTATTTAATTAATAAATTTATTGATTAATCTATAATTTATGAGTTAATTCATTTAGATTTTAATTTGTTTGTTTATTTGTTACTTACTTTATATTTTGCTTGATTGTTTATTTATTTATTTATTGATTTATTTATTTATTTATTTATTTATTTCTTATTTATTTATTTATATATTTATTTATCTATTTATCAATCTATTTATTATTTCTAATAATTAAGTAAATGATTGATTTACTAATAAATAGATAATTAATTTATCATATTCATTCCTTTTTATTCTTTTTTTTTATTTATTAATGAATTTAATTATTAATTTATTCATTCATTCATTCATTCTTTAATTCATTCATTCCTACTTTTTCTGTTATAATCAAGTTCTGTTTATCTATTGCCAGGGTTTGTGTTCCCATCACCATGGTCTGTAATTTGTTCACCAGGGTCTGTATATACCCATCAGCAGGGTCTGTATCATATATCAACAGGGTCTGTATACCCATCACCAGGGTCTGTATACCCATCACCAGGGTCTGTATTATCTATCACCAGGGTCTGTATACCCATCACCAGGGTCTGTATGCCTATCACCAGGGTCTGTATACCCATCACCAGGGTCTATATACCCATCACCAGGGTCTGTATTATCTATCACCAGGGTCTTTATTATCTATCACCAGGGTTTGTATACCCATCACCAGGGTCTGTATTCTCTATCACCAGGGTCTGTATTCTCTATCACCAGGGTCTGTATACCCATCACCAGGGTTTGTATACCCAACACCAGGGTTTGTATACCCATCACCAGGGTCTGTATTATCTATCACCAGGGTCTGTATACCCATCACCAGGGTTTGTATACCCATCACCAGAGTCTGTATACCCATCACCAGGGTCTGTATACCCATCACCAAGGTCTATATACCATTCACCAGGGTCTGTATACCCATCACCAGGGTCTGTATTATCTATCACCAGGGTCTATATACCCATCACCAGGGTCTGTATTATCTATCACCAGGGTCTGTATACCCATCACCAGGGTTTGTAAACCCATCACCAGGGTCTGTATTATCTATCACCAGGGTTTGTTTACCCATCGCCAGGGTTTGTATACCCATCACCAGGGTTTGTATACCCATCACCAGGGTCTGTTTCATCTATCACCAGGGTCTGTATACCCATCACCAAGGTCTATATACCCATCACCAGGGTCTGTATACCCATCACCAGGGTCTGTATAATCTATCACCAGGGTCTATATACCCATCACCAGGGTCTGTATACCCATCACCAGGGTCTACATACCCATCACCAGGGTCTGTATTATCTATCACCAGGGTCTGTATACCCATCACCAGGGTCTATATACCCATCACCAGGGTCTGTATTATCTATCACCAGGGTCTGTATTATCTATCACCAGGGTCTGTATACCCATCACCAATGTCTGTTATATCTATCACCAGGGTCTGTATACCCATCACCAGGATCTATATACCCATCACCAGGGTCTGTATTATCTATCACCAGGGTCTGCATACCCATCACCAGGGTCTACATACCCACCAACAGGGTCTGTATTATCTATCACCAGGGTCTGTATACCCATCACCAGTGTCTGTATTATCTATCACCAGGATCTGTATACCCATCACCAGTGTCTGTATTATCTATCACCAGGGTCTATATACCCATCACCAGGGTCTGTATTATCTATCACCAGGGTCTGTATACCCCCAGGGTCTGCATACCCATCACCAGGGTCTGTATACCCATCACCAGGGTCTACATACCCATCACCAGGGTCTGTATTATCTATCACCAGGGTCTGTATACCCATCACCAGGGTCTATATACCCATCACCAGGGTCTGTATTATCTATCACCAGGGTCTGTATACCCATCACCAGGGTCTGTATTATCTATCACCAGGGTCTGTATACCCATCACCAGGGTCTATAAACCCATCACTAGGGTCTTTAATATCTATCATTAGGGTCTGTATACCCATCACTAGGGTCTGCATACCCATCACCAGGGTCTGTATACCCATCACCAGGGTCTACATACCCATCACCAGGGTCTGTATTATCTATCACCAGGGTCTGTATACCCATCACCAGGGTCTATATACCCATCACCAGGGTCTGTATTATCTATCACCAGGGTCTGTATACCCATCACCAATGTCTGTTATATCTATCACCAGGGTCTGTATACCCATCACCAGGGTTTGTATACCCATCACCAGGGTCCATAATATCTATCACCAGGGTTTATATACCCATCACCAGGGTTTGTATACCCATCATCAGGGTCTATATTATCTATCACCAGGGTCTGAATACCCATCATCAGGGTCTGTATACCCATAACCAGGGTGGGTCTATATACACATCAGCAGAGTCTGTATACCCATCACCAGGGTCTATATACCAATCACCAGGGTCTGTATTATCTATCACCTGGGTCTGTATACCCATCACCAGGGTCTATATACACATCACCAGGGTCTGTATACCCATCACCAGGGTCTGTATACCCATCACCAGGGTTTGTATACCCATCATCAGGGTCTGTATACCCATCACCAGGGTCTATATACCCATCACCAGGGTCTGTATACCCATCACCAGGGTCTATATACCCATCACCAGGGTCTTTATAAACACTCTACAGGTTCTCTTTGCCCATCACCAGAGTCATTACCGCTATTACCAATCATCAAGGTTTGTATATCTATATCTAGGAGAAGTATTACCTGTCACGTACCAGGGTCTACATACTTATTACCAGTTTCTGTATATTGATCACTTTTCTCTATATTAACAATGGTGTATCAGAAAGAGTCTGTATTTGCAAGGGTTTGGTTTTTAATATAACCAAGAGTATGTGCATCACAGAGGGTTTGTCAAGGGTCTTAGTATCAACAAGGGTCTATGTTTCTATGTATCACGCAGAATCTTTGTCACCAAGGGTCTATGTATCATAAAAAGTATGTATATTACCAATGCCTTGTGTTTCACCAACGGTATGTGTATCACCAGGGGACTGTATCACCAAGGTTATGTTTATCACCAAGTGCTTGTTTGTATCACCTAGGGTCTATTTGTCACCAAGGGTTAATGTATTACCAAGGGTCTGTGTGTCATCAAGGGTAAATGTATCACCAAGGGTCTGTGTATTACCAATGGTCAATGTATCACCGAGGGTCTGTGTATCGCCAAGGGTCTGTTTATCTCATAGGGCCTTTGTATTACCAAGGGTCTATGTATAACCTAAGGTCTGTGTATTACCTTGGGTCTGTGTATCACCTAGGGTCTGTGTATCACCTAGGGTCTGTGTATCACCTTGGGTCTATGTATCACCTAGGGTCTGTGTATCACCTAGGGTCTGTGTATCACCTAGGGTCTGTGTATCACCTTGGGTCTATGTATCACCCTGGGTATGTGTATCACCTAGGGTCTGTGTATCACATAGGGTCTGTGTATCACCAAGGGTCTATGTATCACCTAGGGTCTGTGTATCACCCTGGGTCTGTGTATCACCTGGGGTCTGTGTATCACCTAACGTCTTTGTATCAACAAGAATCTTTGTATCACCAAGTGTTTTCACCAAGGGTCTTTGTATCACCAAGAATCTGTGTATCACCTAGGGTCTGTGTATCACCTAGGGTCCGTGTATCACCTAGGGTCTGTGTATCACCCAGGATCTGTGTATCACCTAGGGTCTGTGTATCACCCTGGGTCTGTGTATCACCTAGGGTCTGTGTATCACCTAGGGTCTGTGTATCACCTTGGGTCTGTGTATCACCTAGGGTCTGTGTATCACCAAGGGTCTGTGTATCACCAAGGGTCTGTGTATCACCTTGGGTCTGTGTATCACCTAGGTTCTATGTATCACCAAGGGTCTATGTATCACCTTGGGTCTGTGTATCACCTTGTGTCTGTGTATCACCTAGGGTCTGTGTATCACCTAACGTCTGTGTATCAACAAGGGTCTATGTATCACCAAGGGTCTGTGTATCACCATGGGTTTGTGTACTTTTTGTCCATCAGCAATGATCATTAACCTATCAGAAGAGTGTGTATACTTATTACATAAGTCTGAAAAGCCGTATTAAGGATTTTCCCTCTTGCGGGGTCGAAGTACCTTATTTTCTTTAGGATGTCCAACATTTTTTGCATTATCAAAATGAAATCCAATTACTTTTAAGGATGTCTTTGGGTGTGTTCAGTTACAAGGTTAACATTTTGTAGAGAAGGCCTGATCGTATTGTATAATGAACTATAAAGATTGTCTTGAGATTAAAATTTCTTGATCTAAAGTTATTATTTTATGTTGTCATTATAGCATACTTTTTTTATTTTGTAGTTGAATCTTGTTAAGGAGGAAGCAAAGGGCATTGAACTTTATATCGATAGACAAAGATTTTTATTTATGTGGAAATATTTTGACATTGAAAATTTCAGTCTTTATGTACCTTGATTCATCTATTTCATAAATGGAAAGAAATCATAAAGTTCCAACATGTTGTTCATTTGTTCCACAGAAAATCT